TTCTAATTTGGTTCTTTGGACTTAGGCAAAGGGAATCTGATATATTTGCTTAAAATTGTATTATATTGGCTTCAAATTGTTTGTGCCGCAGCTAATTAAACTGGTACCAACGATTTTTCACTAATATGTATAATGATTGTAAATTTTATCTTTTATTCTTAAATTGAGGACAAAGTTCAACGGCTCTCTAATTTGCTACGGTGTTGGGCCTATTTATAATTTTGAATACTTAACATGTGAAGTGTTGATGACCGATTTCACCAATAAGATTATGGTAAACGGTAATTGCGAATTTATGAAAAAAGAGAGAAATTTTGACGAACTGGATGCTTGCGCTAATACTTTTACACTTTTATTTCTAGAACTTTTAATAGTTTTGAATGCTTTCAAATGAATTTTCAATGGTTTTTGAGGTACAGACTGCTTGCATATGAAACTAATCATAACTTGTTGTTGAGTCACTGCACATATGACAGACGTTTAAGAGGTTAGCCACAAGCAAGACTACATGTGATAGTCCACTTGCAAATCCACTTGCTCGGGATGGGAGGTGTGAATCGGTTTTGAGCATATAACATGAAGTATGCGTGAGCTAATGTTACCATACTGACATTGGCCAAACAGCAAACACTTTTGATAAGTTTGTAGAGTTAAAGATTATCCACAACCATTTTATTAAGTATTGGTATAGCATTCTGGATATCATGTACTTAGATGACTCAAAAGCTAAGACAAGAGTTAAAATTATCCAGAACTATTTTATTAAGTATTGTATAGCATTATCATATTACATGAGTTAAAAGTATCTAAAAGAAAGAAATTATGAGCTTGCTGTTAGGATATTTACGGTCACTATGTGCTTTAGTTTGATGATGTCCCCGGAGTGAGTTCATAAAGGATTGTTATGCTAAACCCTGCAGGTGGATTAAATTCCGGCATAATAAGAATGTGATGAACGAGCGATAGCTTGGGTGAAATAATAATAAATTAATTAATTCTTGATTGTCAGTAATCGAATTAATTAATGGACATTATATCTTAAACGTGGGGAGGTAAATCGAATAATTATTATTGGAATCTCAAATGTAATTTGGGCTAGGGAAAGGGAGTGCAATAATATAATATTGGTGACCCATTAATATTATTTAATTAATTAGAGGAGTGGGTTTGGCCGTTGTATGAGTTAAATCAATCTGTACTTTTTAACGTATATATTGAACAAATAAAAATTTCATTCTAACAAGATAAAGTAAAAAATAATATTGTTTTAAATACGTAATTAAAATAAATAGATTGAAACAATGAAAAAATAATATAATTATAAATATGTAACTGAACTAGCTTCATTATTCCAAAATTCTTAAGTAATTAAAATCTTCCCAAAATTTTGAATTAAAATTTTATGAACATGGGAGTGAGAAATAAAACTATTAGTTGAGAAATTAGTTTTTTTTGTTCGACCTTATGATAGAAGAGTAAGTACCTCTATTTAGAACTTATTAGTTTGAGTTTGTCTTTTGGCGGGAATTTTTGTGTTGATTTAAGATTCGTTTAATTTTTCTTGAGTAGGAGTTAAATTTGTGTCTATCTTCTTATAAAAGTTTTTAAAACATAATTATTTAGTTAAGAAGAGTCAGTTTATCTACTAGAATCTTATAGCTAGCATTTTTAGAATCTAATAGCTAGCATTTTTCTCTTCGTTTGTTTTCATTTTTGTCAAGTCAAGGAGACGAGTTTGTCTTTTGGCGGGAATTTTTGTGTTGATTTAAGACTTCGTTTAATTTTTCTTGGGTAGGAGTTAAATTTGTGTCTATCTTGTTATAAAAGTTTCGACTATGTTAAAGCATTTCGTTAAGAAGATTCAGTTTATCTACTAGAATCTTATAGCTAGCATTTTTCTCTTTGTTTCTTTTCATTTTTGTCAAGTCAAGGAGACTCCGATCAACGAAAGTCCAATATTTTCTCTTAAAACCTCATCTTTCATTTGCTCAGCTTAGTTCAAATAAACCCACAATCAAAAGAGTAGCATGTTTAGGACCTTATTTTTGGTTTTGTAACTTGACGACTAGATAGTGGATGAAGCTCCGAACAACCTTCTTTCGAGAAGACGACTCGAGTGAGATCTTTCGATGTACACAGCTAAAAACTACAAACAAATGGCGCCAAATGCAGTGTTAGTTAAAAGTTATTTTATTAATTTATGAGTGTTAACTAGAACTTATTCTATTGTATATAACAGTGTTAATTATAAGTTATTCTATTAATTTATGAGTGTTAACCAGAACTTATAGCCTCTATATATAATTACCGAATGCGTTGAGCCTAAGTGGCGGCTCGTGTGCTTCGTAAGCTCATTTGGCATAAATTGGTGCTTCGTATAGACACATGCTCAGGTTTGGTTTTGATTATTATGCTTAGGAATTATCATAAATTATTTTAGTTTTCTTTTTTTCTTAAGTTACCATATACCACTCTTACCTTTTTTATTAATGTTGACCACCGACTTGGCAAGGCACAAAATATCCGAGAGATAATCGGGATTAAATGGTTTAGGATACATAAGCGAGAGTTTATGGCGAAATCAGCCTAAAATAACGATAATCGCAATTTATTCAAAGACAACCTGTTTATAAAACCGAAATCGATTTCAAAACCGAAGTCGTTCCTCTCCGTAACCGACATGGGGAGCAATCTCGGTTAAAATCGAATTCCCGGTCCTTCTCCACCGACTCGGAATCTCTCCCCCAACGTGACGATCAACGTTGGACGAAACCGAATTCGTCAAACCCAAAGCAGATGACGCTACACCTACGCGACACCCTCGGGTATCAAGAACTTCGTCATGATGAACGTGGGCCCAACTGTCATAACTGTCCCTTCAAAGCTACTTTCTGTGTGGCACACATTATGAGCAAGCCTCGAAATGTGTGTACAAAAAAGTTAATATAAATAGGCTAAGATTTCCCTAGAAAAAGGGGAGAGACTGTGTGGCTATTTCAATTCAGTTATACATAAGCCGACTCCATATCGATCAACAAAATCACTAATTATCATAATCTTATATTTTGAATCATGTAATTCCATGTTTATTATGTTGTTACAAAATCGTACGACAAAAATTAATTCATATATTAATTATTATAAACATGTATTCTTTTTATATTTAAAACTTTATAAATTTTTTATTTGTATTTTATTTTTTATAAATGATCTACCAAAATAATCATATTTTAATGATCTTCGATTTGACACCCATATTGCATATATAAAATAAAAAATAATTTCATCTATATTTATAAATAAAATTAATTTTTTCAACTCAATTTAAAAAACATTTTATAAAAATATAAATTATTTTATAAAAATAATAAAAATCTAATTCATTAATACAATATAAAATAATCATTTTAGAAAATTGAATGTTATTATGTTATTTAAAATAGTAAATATAAAAAATATCATACTTAAATATAATAAAATAAGTTTATATTTCAAAAAGTTAGAAAAAAATAAATTTCTACGTAAATTCTAAATTATTAATTATATGGACTTAAAATACTTGAAAAAATTAATCATGAATCACTAACTCTATAAATATGAATATAATCACTATACCATAAAATTTGTTTTGTTTTAACACAAAAGAATCAGATATATGAAGTTATAAATAATATCAATTTTATACATATATAATTTTAAAAACATAATTAAAAATATATTTTTTTGACAAATTTAGTGTAAAAATACAGTTACCATTTGAATTAATTATCACTTTGTTAGTTATTTATTATTATTGAATATTCAACATACATAATTTCACAATAAAAATGTAAATTATTTTATTTTTTATATTGTACAAATATTAATATATTTAAAAACATGTGGTATTGTACTAGTTCTATTATATAAATGTTTATGTGAGTAACAATTACTTCCCTCATACCGTCCCACTTCCTAAACAATTACTTATAATATATTAAATGTTGGTACTTTTGTTTATATATTTTTTCCATTAAGCATGACATTTTTCTTTTTTCTTTTTTTGGTACAACGCATGACATTTTTCTAATAAGTCATATTATATATTGGTAAAAAAAAAATGTCAGATCTATTAATTAGACGGACATAATAAAAATCCACTAATACTATATATTATATAATCGTAAATTTTATATTGTTAATTACATAGTAAAACTAAATCAACCCAGCCAATTGATCATACACATGATCTTTTACCCAACTTTTTTTGTCCTGATAAAAAGACCCACACGATGATTAAACAAGCAAGACAGATTTCTCCTGAGGAAAAAAAAAAAAAGAAAAAGAAAAATCATGGGCTCCTTGACTATCCCTAAACAACTCGCTGTAATAGACTTTACGGACGAGGATTTGAGACCACACTCAATTTGTTGGTCAACTGCATGCAAAGAAATAAGAACATCTCTTGAAAACCATGGCTGTTTTATAGCTTTATACAACAAAATCTCACCACAACTTCACCAATCCATATTCCAAGCCGCAAACGACTTGTTCGCTCTCCCCACTGAAACTAAAATCCAAAACGTGAACGAGAAGCCCTACCATGGCTACGTTTGGTTATTTTGTCCTTGGTAGCGATTGCTCGATGTCCTTTGCTAACAAAGTTGCGGAGCTAGAAAAATTCGTGATTAGAATGCTATTCGAAAGCTATGGTGTGGAGAAGTACGTCGAGGCTCATATGGATGCAACAACCTATCTACTTCGATTCTTGAAGTACCGAGCGCCAGGTGAGGGAGAGAGCACGATGGCTTTCCCGGCTCACACGGACAAGAGTTTCATCACGATTCTATATCAGAATCACGTCTCTGGCCTTGAGATCAAGACCAGAGACGGAGAGTGGATTAGCGTCGTTTTCCCGCCAAACTCGTTCGTGGTCATGGCTGGCGACGCGTGCAAGGTGATTTATCGAATTAATTTAACATATTTTGTTTGGTTTTTTTTATCTTTTTTTTTTCTTTTGAAATTTAGACTAGTTAAATAAAATTAGTCCATTTTATTTTTACTAGCATAAATTGTGAATTTTGTGAGATACAACATCCAATTCTCAATCTTTCATGTTCAATTTTTTGTGGTATGTGTTCATGACTAGCTATTATATATAATACAAATTAATAGGTGTACATAAATTCTTGTGTAAAATAATCTAATTGTTTAGACAGGTTGATCAATCATAGTTTTTTCACAAAAATAAATATTTACACTAGTTATATTTTGTTTTTTTAAGGCATGATATTTTAGTTTATAAGTAAGCAAGTTTATTGGATAGTATGGTTATCTTACATTAGACTTGCTTAACAGTACCTTTTATTTAATTCATTCAATTGATTGGAGCCTTCAAGTGAAAGTCCTAAATGGGACATCATCCTTATAGCTATGGTTATGATTTAAGCACTATTAAGGCATCAAGTAGCTATTGACTTTATTATTAAGGCATCAAGTAGCTATTTTAATTATGTTTTGTTGCAAACTTAGGCATGGAGTAATGAGCAGGTGCTTTCTCCTAGCCACAAGGTCACCTTGGACAAGGATGTAAAAGAAAGCAGATACACAATTGCCCTTTTCTCTTTCCTTAGCAACGTAATACAAACTCCTGAGGAGTTTGTAGACGATGAGCATCCGTTGCGGTTTAAGCCTTTCGTACATGTCGATTTGTTGAAGTTTTACGATACAGATCATGGTCGGCGATCCCGAAATATACTCAAGGATTTTTGTGGTGTTTGAACTTGTTTGTACCTTTTAGGTGTGGATTAATGTTTTTTTGTTTGGAAATATATAGGCAAAATAGCTCGTTATATCACGACCTTTTACTAAATTGCTAAAACATTACGACTTTTGGACATTGGCGAAGAATATCACGACCTTTGATTTCTTTGCAAAACGATACACCAAAATAAAAAACCGGCCAACAGTGCTTATGTGTCCGACCAAACTTTATTACCTGGACTAAAAAAATATGACATGGATATGATTTTCCCACGTGTGCAATGACATGGAAAACAAGTATAAATATCCCAAATCAGATTTTTGGAAATCACGTCGAATCCCTAAATTTCAAAATCCCTAATTTTATCCACACTACTTTTTCTGAACTTTGATTGCTTGGGTGAGCCAGATCATGAGCCTCGGCAGGGATTTAGCTTGGGTGGCCGCCATGGATGCCTGAGAGGGGCTCCTCATCGAGTCCCACAGGAACTTCTAAGGATTTTTCGGGTCGAATTTCATTGTTATTTCTCAACCAGCTCGCAACTCGCAGATTTGGGGGTAAGGTTGCAGAGACTCTCCCTCTCTCTCTCTGCACAGACTTTCCGCCATGTCTCTCTCTGTACAGACTTGCCAACTGCGACCCAACACCACTCCACATTTATTAATTGTTTTTGGCACCTTAAACAATGTCTGAGAGGAAAAATAAATAGCAGTAAAACAAAAATCTTCAAATAATGCTTATTAAAATATAATTATTGAGATGGTGTCTCAATGTAGACGTAGATAGGTACAGAGGATTGTATGTATAGGTAGGGGATGGAGGTGGATGAAGGTTTTATGGGACGATTTTTTTGAGAGATTGAGATGGACCTTCAATTTCAGGTGATTGTGGGAGATTGGGAAAAAAATTAGGGTTCGTGGATAAAATTTAGGAATTTGTGAATTCCAAAAATATATTTTGTACTATTTATACTCGTTTTCCATATCATTGCACACGTGAGGACAATCATATCCACGTCATATTTTTTAATTCCAGGTAATCAAGTTTGGTCGGACACATAAGCTCCGATGGCCGGTTTCTGACTTTAGTGTATCGTTTTGCAAAGAAATCAAAGGTCGTGTATATAGGGGAATATTATAGAATTGAAGGTTGGATTTAAGATGATCTTGATTGTGAGAAAGAAAAAAAAATTGTCCGAAAATATTAAATGAAGTAATTTTTGTTTATATGAAAATGTTGTATTCGATCCTACAAATAATATAGGCAACTACATTCCTAAGTCTGTTGATTTGGTAAAATATCACTTGTTAGTTGTCCACATTGATTTTACAAGGAAATTGAACATAACTTATATGCTTAGTGGACAATTTCTCCCATCACCAATTGGTTTTGAGATGGAACCTCACTATGGTGCATCTACGCTCACCCTCTTATGGTGTACTTCGCCTAGGTGTGACCGCACCCCAATTCTATAAAATCTAATACTATTCAATATTCTTTGTAACGAGAGTTCTCACATTGATCTGTACACATACTCACACTCATTTAGATGGGTGGGTGTGTGGTGTTCAAGGGCCAAAAGGCCCAACGAAACATGTCCTTAATTAGGAGCAGGTATGAATTCCCCATTCAACAATGGTAGTTAGAATCATTGTTTTCAAACTCAAATTTGTCACTTCAAAAGAAATTATCATATTTCAAAAGGAAAATTCAAAGGCAATATATTTTAATGAAAATTTTAATAGTATAACTTCCGTTGAAAAGAACTTTTTATTAGAATTTTAGTTGAAATTTGATGATTCCAACAACTATTTTTCTAACGGTTTATTGTAGGAATTTCCGTTGGAATACGTGATGTTTGTTGTAATTTTTATTCCCACTCAGATTTCAGCCATTGAAAAATGTATGGGAAAAAATTGTCAAAAATCCAACGAAAGTTTGTCGTGGATGAGAAAGAGGTCGGAGAAAATTTCGAGAAGGTACGGATCGAGGCTAACCGAGGAAAATGAGGGGCAAGGGATTTTATTTATTTATTTATTTATTCATACAATAAAGTGGAGAGTTGAGGTGTATAACCTTACAATTACACTAGTACAGAGCCCGTGCGATGCACGGGGTGCACAATTTTAAGGTTATTTATCCAGGCTTATAACTATATACATGAATAAAGAAAAATGTACGGAATATATATAGTACGTGACCCGTGCGAAGCACGGGATATATTTATTATATTATATTATAAGATGCAATATTTAATAAAAGTTTATAATCCGCAAGAAAATTGTACAATGTTCAATAAAAGTTTTATAGGAGTCTTGAAGTATCTTGTACATTAAGACTACTGACAAAATAATATTTTAATCAATGAGTTTCCTTTCCTTGTAGCCAAATTATGAATGTGATTTGAGGAGTACAACAAATCGATATATAGCTGACTTGCTTTTTTCATTGTAGTTTTTTCTTCTTTTTTTTATAATGAATTTAAAGATATTCTAAAATATAGCAAAAATTAATTTTTTTTTATTACAATTAGGAATTTTACTAAATATAAACTATCAATCTATGGTGTTATTCAACGTTTAAGTCTAAAAAATTAGGAATTTTTACCTCTTTTAATCAACGTTTAAGTCTAAAAAATAATAGAGTTATTATAAGTTTTTTTCTACATCTTTTAAAACATTAAATATGAGCATGTTAGGCTAGCTTGTAAAATAATTAATATATTATCTCACTAAAACATTTATACTAATAAAAATTTAATTTTAGCATATAAATTTATCCCTTGATATAAGAGAAAATAACAGTTTTACTTATTGTTGTTCACCATATAATATTTAATTATTATTTTATTATATAATAAAAAATAAATATTGTTAAATAGTGTAGTAGAATTGTTATAAAATTATATGAATTTTTTTTTACAATATGAATTTAATATTTTTTTATGATTTGATAATATAAACAAATCTATGCTTAACTTTGACAAATAAAATAAATAAATACTTTAGTAAGTATTTAATGTATATACTAAATAGGAATATATTTGGTATAATCAAATACCAAATATAATCAAATAAGTCAAAGTGTATATTTTTATTTGGTATTTGATTTTTTTTATTAAAATCTTTTTATTATACTTACCTTTTTAAAATAAAATAAATAAATAAATTAATTAAATAAATAAAATATTATAATACCAAAATATTAATGGCATTTAATGTAGTTGACTTTTCTGGATAGTAAATGTAGTAAATAGAATCTCCTTTTATATAAATATAGATTGTATAATACGGAAATAGTAATGCAATAAATGCTGTTGACTTTTTTGGTTACTTAATTTGGTAAATAGGATTCCCTTTAATATAAGTATAGATGTCCAAAATTCTATTTTTAGAAGGCATTAAATGCTGTTGGCGGGAAAACTTTGCTAAAAATGTTAAATGGTTAATCTTTTAATATAATGATAGATGGGACCTCACAAAGATCACACATCATCAGTTTTGGCCAACGACTTCGCCCAATATAATAAGACCAAAATAAAAAATGTATAATAAAATTTACGAATTGAATAAAATTTGAAAAATAAATACATTATCACTAAAATCACTTCCACGTTAAATTAATTGGATCGAAATTGCATTTTTGTTTTTTATAGACGATTCTCTATATCGTAGCCATTTAATAAGTCATTAACACATCTTCAAATGTGGACCCTTCTTTTGTTGTAAAAAGTTCGAAATTCACAGTGGTAACAAAAAAAGTATTCATAGTGATTTTAAGTTTTAACTACCAAGTAAACATTGTAACAGGACAATTAACAACGAATTGCATTGCATTGTTCTAATAAATTAACTTTTAAAATTAATCACATAGTTACTACTATTCATCATCAACTATAGGTTAACATATTCATTATTATGAGTTATCTGCTTTACCTAATGCTAATAATTATTGGCTATCACCCGGCCTCAACCATATGATATGAGATATGATGATAAATTAGATCATGATCTTGACAATATTATTTTTAAACTTGATCAACCCCCATACAATGAACAGCTAGACTGATATTGTACGACTTAGAATATTTATTTAATTTACACATAATCACAGGATAAATTAATTAACTTTAAATGTAAACAAAAAAAAATTAAAAATACCAAATTTGGGGACCAAATTATGTTATGATTAGAGGGGACCAATTACTGATAACATTTTCTTTTAATTAAACCTTAGAACGAACTTGGTGGACACAACATATATTATATATACAATGAAAATGACAACATAAACAACAAATGAAACCTCAAATCATGGTGATATCATAGGAACATTTTAACAAGTATTGGGGGTTAATTATTATTTTCGTACCTTTCTTATGTTAGATCTCAATAAAAAAAAAAAATGTTGCGTTCCTTTTCAGTGCCTTTTCAGCAATGACACAATGATATAAAAATTCAAATTATTGGTAGCGAACAAATTGAGGAGCTACATAAAATATTGATAAGTCCTTTTTGATATATATTTCAACTTATGAAATGACAATATGGATTGTCATAATGGAAAAACTTGCATTTCCATTTAAATGTATTATATATGTATCACTTTTTGGTTTATTACGAGGACCAATAAGTGTTGTATTATCAAGTAGTTGGTTTCTATAATGCAATAAAGACAAGTTATCAACTATCAAAGTGTCTTACTTTCAAGAGGATATTAAATTGATAATTATAGAAAGTACAATATTTCACTATGAATTATAGATATTAAAAAAAAAAAAAAAAAAAAAAAATATGCTGGCAAATTAAAGAAGATAATGTGATTAAATAACAATTTGATGCTTCAGTTAGATGGTTTACAAAGGATAATCTGGCGATGATATGTCTTTCGGACCATTATAATAATTACATCATTACTAATTTACTATATCAATTACATTATTGACGGTTTGCAATAATCGAAATATTTATAATATAGGAGTACAACTTTAAGAAAATGTAAAAATGAGTTAGTTAATAATTAATTATTTATCAAATATTAAAAATAAAAATTTTAAGATTTTGAAAAACTTATTCTGATATAAATAAATATACCGTGGCAAACTAAATAAATAAGTGAATAAAAAAACAATATTAATCCATTTTTATGACAAAAGTAGAATTAAATTATAGAATTAAATCACGGTGAATGTATATAGTTCAGAAAGTCATATTAAAGTATGCCCTAAAAACTACTGACCTTAGTCCCCGCCATTTCATTAGATCAATACCTACCAAACCATATCCCTTACCTGAAATTCATCTGAAAAAAAAAAAAACAAATAAAAAAATAAAAACAATGGGTTCCTTGGAAAATTACCACAATAACCTTCCCATAATCGAATTCGCCGGGGACAATTTAGTCCCATGCTCAACCAGCTGGCGGTCGACGAGCGAAAACGTTGTACGGGCACTCGAGGTGTACGGGTGTTTCCTAGCGATCTACGACCGATTTGCGCCTGACATGCACGACTCGATTTTCCATGCAGCCGAGGAGTTATTGTCTCTACCGACGGCCGTGAAAGTGAAGAACATTTCCGAGACCCCATCGCACGGGTACGTGGGACAGGTGGCGCTTATTCCGTTGTACGAAGGTTTGGGGATCGAAAACGCCACCACTTCTCAAGGAGTCGACGACTTTATCAATCTCATGTGGCCGTCCGGGAATCGTACTTTCCGGTATATTATTTAACTAACAATATTTTCATGAAACTTTCTGAAAAACTGGCTGCCTCGTATAAGAATTTGTGAAAAAATAACAAAAATACTTTCTTTTGTGGTATATATGGACTACTAGTTAATTTTAATTTAATTTCATGATCATTTATATAGTGAAACAACTTTAGAGTACTCTAAGATTGTGGCCCAACTAGACCAAGTTGTGATGAGGATGGTGTCCGAAAGCTATGGCGTAACGAATAACTACGAACGATTGCTCGAAAAAACATCGTACCTCCTTCGACTTCTAAAATATCGAAAGCCTAACGAAAACGAGACTAGTTTGGGAATTGTACCGCACACGGACAAGAGCTTCATGACTATTCTTCATCAAAATCGAGTGCCCGGTCTCGAAATCAAGGCCAAAAACGGGCGTGATTGGATAGTCGTTGATCCTTCGCCTAAGTTTTTCATCGTCATGGCTGGCGATGCTTGTATGGTGAGTTTATGTTTTTGTTTCTTTTCATAAGCTCAAAATTGAGGTTTGAAGTCTTTTTTGTTCAATTTTGTGTTTAGATCCATATATATGATATAATTACTTTGATTTTTGATTGTTAGGCATGGACTAACGGAAGAATCGAAGCTCCCCAACACCGGGTGATGATGATGAAGGGGTCGGAGGAAAGGTACTCTGTCGGCCTGTTTACGTTTATTAAGGATATTGAAATACAGGTGGCGAAAGAGCTAGTCGACGATGGGAATCCTTTGCAGTTTGAGCCGTTTGATCACTACAAGTTCATACACTTCTATTATACCGATGAGGGCAAGCGTGCAAAGTGTCCCATTAAGGCGTATTGTGGAATTTGATCACTATTTTTTTGACAATGTAATTTTATCAGTGTTTTGACTGTTTGTTTGGATTAATTTGCATGTATTGATGAAATATCGGTGTGTTATTCGGGCTTTAAATTAAATATTATAAGGATAAGGAGCTTGAAAATGTACTCCAACTTTGTATGGGAGTGGTTTTCATTTGGAATGGAATGGTAATATGCTGTGGTACTCAATTACCATTTTAATATCATTTTTTTTCTGTTTAATCTATGTATTATTACGTAAACACAGTTTCCCAGTGATTTTTAAAGTTGATTAGCAAATTCGTGTAGTGTTCTTTTTATGATATTACCAGATGCATTCAATTATTGAAGAAAACTATATAATCAATGAGGTTCGAGATGATAGGTGCAGTTTTATTATAATATCACTTGTGAGTTGTCTCACATCGTTTATACAGGAAAGATCGATAAGTCTAACTTATAAGCCTAGTGGACTACTCCTTAATATTCACATTCACATTATCACATATACAATAGGTTTGAACTATATAGATTTGAAAACATGTTATAACCCCATCATAAATAAATTTAAAATTTTCAAGATGTTAATTTGTAGAAATTTCAATATATAATTTTAGTTGAAATTATTTTTCACTGTTCGAAATTTATATATGCTCAAACAATACATCATTACTATATATATCCATAGACATCGATTGAGATAACAATACAAAAAAATTCATTATTACATACTAAACCATTTCAAGATTAAATCAATCACCAATTATGGATTCTCATCCAAAGTCGTCTAGACTCCCGTTGGTCGAATTTAACAAGACGAACCTGACTCCAGACACAAGCTCCTGGAAATCAACCTCGGACTCTGTCCGAGAGGCCCTTGAATCGCACGGGTGTTTTGTGTTAACTCACCGTGAACTCAGCCCGGATCTTCATAACCGGGCGTTCGACTTTACCAAGGATTTATTCCGCCTCCCATCTGAAACTAAAAGGAGACACGTGCCCCAACTTCCAGGTTTCGGTTATGGCGCGAATTTCCCTGTCATGCCCCTGTTTGAGTACTTTGGAGTCGAGAATTGTGAGACGCCCAAAGGCGCCAAAATTTTCACCAGCCTCATGTGGCCCAATGGGCATAACAAATTTTGGTATATATCTGAACTT